AACAGATTCCATGTTGTTAGGGTTCATGGAAAGGGTAGGTGCAGAAGGGAAGCAGGTGTGGCTACAAAAGGGCCACATGAGGGTTCACTATGGTGACAGAAATGGTCTGCGTCCTGACTATAACAACTTTACATTCTGGTTGTGATACTGTACTAAAGTTGAATGTCGTTGTGAAGTGCCTTTGAGTCAGTTCCGACTGCTTGGTTAGAGCTGCTTACCTTGTGTGTAGCAGTCCAGCACTTATCCTACACGCGCCATACCAGGACTCCATATAAGGTGTTATATAAATTTATAGTTACATAAGGTGGTACCATCGGGAGAAAGTGGGTGAAGAGTACATCAAACCTATCTGTGTTATTTCTTAAAAAAGCATGTGAATCTATAATTTTTCAAGATTCAAAAAGCTGGATCTAAAAGCTGAGCTGAGCCATGGCTTACAGACATCCTCGAGAGGTACCTGAGAGGTAAAACCACAGTCAACTTGGAAACAGGCCACAGAGAGATCTAATTTTAAATATAATTTCTGCAAAAACCTTCAATAACCAAAAACCAAGTGGTGGTGGTTGTGTGCCATTGAATTGGTGCCTACTCACAGTGACCCTGTATAGGGTTTCTGAGGTTATAAACTTTATGGGAGAAGAAAGCCTCATCTTTCTCCCAGAGCAGCTGGTGGACTCGAACTGCTGACCTTGCAGTTACAACAGCCTAATGAGTAACCCACTACACCATCAGGGTTCCTTAATAACCAAACAGGAAGAGAGTAAATGTTAAAATGAGACTAAAGACAAGTGTAGAAAAGAGAAATGCTGAGAACTTGAGAAAAAGAAGGTTAAGTAAATATCTGTAGGCTCAAGGACTTAGTAAGTCTAGTGATAAAACACTAACATATATTTTACTATTATTATTATCTCTAAATCCTTCTTATATAATTAATAAGAGAACTGCACCCAAGAGTATAAATGGTAAAATTCCATTCAAGAAAACACTTAGCTTTAGAAATAAAATATTAAAGATCTACTTGATGTCACAAGATTTTTTAAGTCTACTCATTAAAAAAATTTAGAAATAAAAAAGGATACAGCATCCATAGCTATGAGATGAAACCTTCTATTTCTTGCTTCTTCCCTGTTAAAACAAATTTTATTTTAAGCATATTAACGTGTATATTCTACTCAATGAGCATTAAATCCCCAAGTCCCTGATTTTACAAAAACATCTTACACAAGGAATGTAATTGGAATTAAGGCACCATACCTATCCAGCAATTCTGCTGCCACTTGTTTATGTGCCACCTTCCCATGTTTTTCTTTCTGAAATGGCTTTTTGAGCAGTAAGTCATCTTCAGTTGTCCTGGTTCAGTAAGAAGAAAAACTATCAAAAGAGGTATTTCTTCAGAGGATTAGTGTTTCCCAAGTCTTAAGAATTTTCATAATTGGAACACGTTTTAAAGAATTCAAGTCAGCTTACAAAAGATTTACTGTTAACAAGAATTTTACATCTTCTTAAATAGCTTAACTAATACTTAATTTTATTTAATACCTATAAGATGGAGAAGATGAAACTAACAAAAGCATGGGTTCTGGTGTCAGACCATCTGGATTCCAGAGTTCAAATTCTCATTTTACCTCTTTGCTGACTACTGTGTAATCTTGGACAGATTATTTCATCAGTTTGTGTCTCAGTGTCCTTGTTTATACAGCAGGGGAAAACGAGGATTTTGGTAATTGGTAATATGAAAAAAAGGTGGATTATAAATAATATAGATCATATATGATCACTCATTAATCACCCTTATACAGAAAAAAATCTACCAACTAGATTTGCTCAATTTCTATTCTTCCAAAATAACATTTTTGAATGGAAAGTATAAACAAAAAAACAAAACAAAACTCAAATCCTTTGCCATGGAGCCAATTCAGACTCACAGCAAACCTACAGTACACAGTGTCACTGCCCCACAAGGGTTCCAGGCTTTAAATCTTTACGGCAGCCAAGCACCACATCTTTTTCCTGCAAAGTGGCTACTGGGTTCAAACTACCAATCTTTTGGTTAGCTGCCAAGCACCGGAATCACTTTACCACGAGGGCTTCCTTTAGGAAAACGTAAAGCACTGTACAATAGACTACCGTTATGATTATGCACGGACTGAGTGTCCAGCAAAAAGGTTTAGTCCCAGTTAGCATGCCAAATACACTGCTTTCAATATGAACCAATAGCTCTATGAATCTGCTTAGTATGAATTAGATTACCACTACTCAGTTAATGAAGGAAGTCACATTTCTAAGTACCGCCAGCTGAAAACCATGTCCTTGCACACCGCATCAACGCCAAGATGGAGCCTCCTCAGAAGGCTTTATCTCCTGCTTGTTGTCTGGTTCTGCTGTGTGTCCTTTCTAAATTAATAAAACTTCCCATGAGCTCTTTCTCTTGGCCACTTATCTCCTCATTCACATAACCAAAATAATGTGCGGTATTGTCATCTCATCCTCACACTAACTAATCAAGCCCCCTCTTGCTAAGACAGTTACAAGAAGTCCTTGACAGGCTGGATGAGAAGAAACATATGCCATAAAGAGATGACAGCTTTCAGTTTTTTTCCTTTTCCCTGCTTCCTTTCCATAAACCCCTTGTCAGCAGAAAGCATTATTTTTTTTTATTTTTCCATATAACCATTTTCAAATTTTGAGTCAATTCATTCCAGTTCAGTGAAAAAAATTCATTCATTAAAGCATAGTTATCATCGCATACAAACACAATCCACAAACTTTCATTACTTACTTATACCTCATCTCAATCTACAAAGAATCTGAAATAATTTCAATTTAAAAAATTACTTACCTTTTTTTCCTTTTGCTGGATTCTCCACACTGTTCCTCATCACTAAAATCAGAGTCATAGCCCCCATGACCATGCATCTGAGAAAGAAGAGAAAATCAGCTCTTCAGAATTTCAGTGGCCAACAGTTCAGAAAATAGAACCATTCAAAATAAGTTATCTTGAAAAGCCAGCAGTGTCAGTGGATGGTGGTGGACAGATGGCTGTCCACAGGTTACACAGTCATCTGACACTTTCCTTCATGTAGAAACAACAGATTTACCCTTTACAAATACACATGTGCACTGATTATTTTCACTATCTAGGTCAACAAGAGAGGCGACAAAGTGACAGCATATAATGTTCAGCAATGCTTAACTCTTATTTGACTCAGAAATTACTATGTGTTTATCTGGACTCAAATGTAACAATCTGAGGACACGCAGGACCCAACAGTTTCTGTTGTGCACAGAGTTACTATTTCTCAAGGAGTCCTGGTGACATAGTGGACTACGAAAGGTCAGCAGTTAAAATCTACAAGTTGCTCCATGGGAGAAAGATGAGGCTTTCTGCTCCCATAAAGATTGACAGCCTCGGAAGCCCTATACAGGGTTTCTCAGAGTCAGAACAGACTTAACAACATACCAACAACAACAACCATGTGTTTATCATCAACTCAGCTCCCAACACTGTGCTATAAATACTTTACAAACACCTCTATTCTGCAAGCTAACTCACTGCCACCGAATCAATTCCAAATCACAGTGACTCTATATAGGGTTTCCCAAGCTGTAACAGAAAGCCTCATCTTTCTCCCGAGGAGTGGCTGGTAGTCTTGAACTGCCAGCCTTGGGATTAGCTGTCCAGTGCTTATCCTACAGTGCTCCAAGGCAAATTAGAAACTATTATCTCCATTTTAGAGATTAAGAAACTAAGGACAACTAGATAGAGATAGTGGCTATACAACATTTTAAAGGCATCAAAAGCCACTTTGTTGTTGTTGTTATGTGCCGTGGAGTCGGAACCGACCCATAGCGACCCTGTACAGGGTTTCCGAGGGTGTAAATCTTTACGGGAGTAGACTTTAAAATGATTCATTTTGTTAGGTGAATTTCACATACCTTTGCCCTACTCCCTCCAATAAAAAGGAAAAAAGGCAAGCTAAATCAGATATTGTTAGAAAGCAAATCGGTGGCTAAGCTGATTTACTTGATTCTTAAGTTTGTAATTTCAACTACTTCAAGCTGCCTCTCTTGAATTATAATTTTTTGAGATAAGTTCAACTGTTAAATGCCACTGAGTTGGTTCCAACTCAGTAACCCTGTATTGGGTTTACGAAGAGCAGCTGATGACTTTGAACTGCAGCCTTGGAGTACAAACTGACCTTGAGGTTCAGTAATTATTCTATGACGTTGTAGGATAAGCAGGGGACTGCAAGGTCAGTTTGAACTGCAAGGTCAGCAGTTCAAATCCACCAGCCGCTCCTTGGAAACTCTGAGTCGGAATATCGCTATGAATCAGAACCAATTGGACAGTAGCAACAACATAGTCAATTAGGAGCCCTCGTGGTACCGTAGTTAAAGCACTCAGCTTCCAAGCGACTCTGTGGGAGAAAGATAGGCACACTGCTTCTGTAAAGATTTACAGCCTTGGAAACCTATGAAGTTCAACTATCTTCCAGGGTCACTATGAGTTAGAATCAACTCAATGGCAGTGGAGTTTGGTACATTCAATTAGACTTAGGGATTGTGAATAGTGGAGTCCTGGTGTGGCGCTGTGGGTTAATGCGCCAGACTGCAAAGCCGTTTGACCTGCAAGGTTGGTGGTTCAAGCTCACCAGCTGCTCCTCAGAAACCCTATACAGGGTCGCTGTGGGTCAGAACCGACTCGACGGCACTTCACAACAACAACATTGAGAATAGTGGGTTAATACATCAGATTGCAAAGCCATTTGAACTGCAAGGTCAGCGGTTCAAGCTCACCAGGTGCTCCTCGGAACTCTATACAGGGTCGCTATGGGTCGGAACCAACTCGACAGCACTTAACAACAACAACATTGTGAATAGTATATGTCAGTTAATGAAAATTTTCCTATTAATACTTTTTTCAACACATGTAAAGATTTCTACATTTTCTCTTAAACGCATGTTTCCTCAAGATAAACTATATTTCCCTTTGGCCTAGTCAGCTTTATCTTGCTTCAATTCATTATGCAAGTTTTAGAAGTGTTGGAAGATTTATCACTTTTGTTTTGTTTTTTTAAATCATGGATTGTGTCAGAAGCAGCTCCTGATTTCAGCATTAAACTGAATTTGGGACATAAATTAACAAGGGAGAAGTCCTGGTGTAGTGCTGTGGGACAAACACTGGACTGCTAATTGCAAGGTTAGCGGTTCAAACCCACCAGCCACTCCTTAGAAACCCTATACAGGGTCACTGAGTCAGAACCGATGAGATGGCCCATAACAGCATTGACAAGGTGTGGATAGACTATTTGATGTTACATAGACTCAGAACTCAAAAATAGTCTATAAAAGAAATATTTGGCAATGAGGGTTGAAATGATAGCTTTGAACCAAGTATAAATATTAATCCATTGGTCGGAAGGAACCAGACCAATGAAATGATACGTTAATTTTTTTTTTTTTAATTTTAAGTCACTACAAAAAGTAGAGTAAGAAAAAGGGAAAAATTCCTTCCCTAAACTATACTAACTAAAGCCTAGAACAAAAGACATGTTTCTGGCTAGCCTGAATAAGTCACATCATCTCCTTGGGTTTAATTTGTTAAATCAGGTGGCTACCTAAAACAATCATTACATCATAAGCGATCATTCTATACCGCTTTGCACATTAGTGTGTGGGTGCATACCTCACTTCTCTGCCCCATAGAATTCCACAAAGCTCCAGCCAAGGTTGGAGGGGTTGGGTAGAAACCCACGGTCCCAACTGTAACTGACATGTTACTAACAGACACACCTGGTCTCATGCCCTTTCTCAGGTCAACTCTTTGTTCCAGCTGTCATCAACACCTCTGTTCAAGCCACTGAAATACTCTTACATCTTCTGCCATTTTTATTCACATCTTGATGGGGGACAAGCATAGCGTGGAGTTTAAAGATTTATCAGAATTCAAATTCATGCTCTACACTTTACTTTTGTCTTTTGGGGGTATGTTTCTTAAACTCCCTGAGCCCCTGGTTTCCCTTTTTATAAAATGAGGCTAATATGACTACCCACTTTATAGGACTGGAGATTAAATGTTATCACATATATACTGGTTTCAGAACAAAGTCCCGTAAATACAAATTACGAGGGTGCTTAAAACAATCGTGATAAAATGGAATTGAGAGATGTTGGAATCTTCCTACGGAACTATGTGAAGCCCCCTCATATCATCACCATTTTCCTCTTGCGTCCCCCTCTCCCTTGCTTTTTTTCTCTGGAGGCTTCAACAATCATTCCATACCATTGGAATTCTGGTTGCACTAAAAAGCTGTCACTCACTTCGGTCTAAGAATCAACTGACAAGGGCCCAGAAAAGCATCGAGAAAGGAGACAGTGGCCGTCTCCGAATCTGTTTGTAAAGAAAGAAAGAATGAAAATTATAATCAAGAAGTAAGTTTCCAGGTACTGCTTCCCGTCCCCCAAAACACCCAAAGTCCTCCTCACACACCCTTTCCCTGCCTCCCTACTCTGCCAGATTCTCCCAGAGTCGGCGTTTTCTCCTCCTTTCCCCGCGGCTGCAGCGACAACCCACGGCCTCAGCGAGCTGCTGCAGATTAGCCCCGTCGAACCGCGAAGCGTTGCCACCGCTACTACCCCTGCCACCACCACCGCCGCTCCACACCTCCCCCCTACGGGTCCCGGCGGGCACCACTTCCGGTCCGACTAGTACGTGTGCTACGCCTAATAGGCATCGGGCGTCTTCAGGAGCGCCGGCCTTGTGTTACAGTCAGAAAAGACCCGGGAAACAAGGGCAGTGGGAAAACAGGGCCGGGCTGGAAGCAAACATTCTCTCCCACCCTTCCCCGGGGACCTCCTACCCCTCCCTTCTCGGGCGTCCAGCACCTACTACCGGGTCGCACTGCCCCACAGATCAGCATCCCCTCATTTGAAAATATAATTTGCTTTAGAATAAGCTCCGTCTGAATATCATCTGTTCTCTTTCTCTTTCTAGTAACCTTAGTAACGCCTCTTCCGTGCATGCTCACCGAGCATCTCAACCTCAGATGTCTTCCCCCACACTCAAGAAAGCAGTTCTCATAATTAGAACAAAAATAACTTTCTGTCGTTTCACCACCCACACAAAATATACCATTCCAAATGCAATGCTCGTGGCAGAGGAGCTAATAGAATTTGTGAGGAAAGGAAGAAAACCATGAAAAGGAGTAGGCGAAATTGCAGAGAGCTGCAGATTCTTTTCCAACAAGGGCTCTGGCACGCGTGAGAAGCGATCCAAAATAGATCCTTCAGGAAAAAAAAGAAAAGAAAACAATAAAAAAAAAAAAAAAAATTTTTTTTAACTCGCAGGCAAGAAAAATTAATAATTTTAAGCTCCATCACTTTTGTTTTGCCCTTTCTGCATTACACTCTGCTTCACAACCTGGTTAGTGAGTTCAGGTCTTGTCTCCTTGTCAGCAGTTATTCACCTTTGCTTTTTCTGAGGCCTACAGAGGTGCATGGAAATCACAAGCGCTAATTAAATACAGGACTTCTAGTGTGGCATTGCTGGTTAATGCCATAAACTGCACCGTCGGTTTGGGCCGTTGCCGGCAGTTCTAACTCACCAGCTGCTCCTTGGAAGCCCTGTACAGGGTCGCTATGAGTTGGATCCTGACTCAATGGCACTTAGCAACAACAATTAAATACATGCCAGTGTTTGTTGAACTGAAGGGACAAGTCTTTGGGTCTACAGCAGGCCCATTTTAGAGGAAACCTTGACAATATGTACTTATAATTTCCCATAGTTTACACTAAATGATAGATATCCTTATTGGTTCAACGCTTCCTTCTATTCCTGACAGAAATGTAGCAGATGTGATCTTGAAAATTTTTAAGTTTAATTATGGTAAATTCAATTATTTCAAAATGCAATCAAA